ACAATAGTTTCGAAAGAACGGTATGAACAAGAGATCAACAAGAGCATAAGATAGATTAAAGATTGAGGCGCATAACACAAAGAGAGGGATGTATCCGAGTCGTTTGAAGGCAATGGACTTTGCCTTCAGATAAGNGTGGCGCGCTACCTCATGCGCGTAGTCATGGGTCCGAATCTGAGATCGATATCCGCCAACCAAGCCTTCTGTCCCACCGGGACCAGTTAATTACTACAAGTCTCTTCTGGGAGGATAAAAGCACTGACTTGTGCACCAGCTGCTCACCACAGGTCATTGTTCGGGCCGCATACATATGCAATACGCCACTACGATTTTGAATGGGAGTCGAAGGCGGGGCGCGCCTCTCAGACGAGACTGATTAAAGCCCCAAGACTTTATCATCCTTTTATCGTCATTACCAGCTACCACATTTAAATTTCTACTCAGGAACAGGGGTTTCGCAGTAATCCACGTCTTCGGTCAAACTTTTGGATTTTCATCACATTCTGAAACCCTCTCTTAAATAGAGGTTCACAGTTTCGAGGGGGTTGTCGTGGTCAGCGAACTCCCCCACTTTCGTGCGCGCTCTTGACCGGCTGCCTTCACCGTTAGTAGCAGGTCTGGCATACAGCTAAGGTTTAAAGAGGCCTAATTTCTTTTCTGAGAGAACGCTGAATTTCTGTTTTCTTTCTTGTTGTTTTCGTGTTTGTATCTGCAAAAGAATATAGTATTGTGGATATTAAAAAAATTCAAAGACAGGGCGGGAAAAGGCCTCCGGCGAAGGAAACATATGAACGTCCATTCCTGTGCCACTTCTACGGGAAAGGCGACCCAACCAATAGATCATTTGATATTGCAGTACGCTATAACGTAGATCCGGCCAGAGGACCACGATAGGGCCTTATCACTAATAAAGAGATTGTGCGGTAGACTGGTCCTTAGTTTGGCGTTTGAGGGTTGTTGAAAAGAACCAAAGAATGTTGAATGTTGCAAAAACCTTTCTGTAAAGCCAAAAACTGGGTGTTGCACTTACGTTATGACTTACCCATCCTAAATCGCGCCCGCGGAACAAAACAAGGATACCCTAACAATAGTTTCGAAAGAACGGTATGAACAAGAGATCAAAACAAGAGCATAACATAGATTGAAGATTGAGGCGCATAACACAAAGAGAGGGATGTATCTGAGTCGTTTGAAGGCAATGGACTTTGCTTTCAGATAAGATTGAGGTATACATACGAGGCGTGAAAAAAAAACCACTAAAGGGCAGGTAGCTAAGCGAGGATCCCAAAGCGATTGTTCGCCTACTGTTCAAATGAGGGTCTGTTGTTACATTAGAACGCTTGTGGGCGAAATATTGGAAGGTCGGACATCTTCCCCTGAGCCGATGATTCATAGGTCACAATACGGCTTTGCTTTCATTTCACTTAACTAGCTGGCGCTAGAATTCTGGTGCTCTAGGCGCTAAACTTGGTTTCGCATTTGACAATGAAAAGCATTGGAGCTTTGTGTCTTATTTCTCATTTTAAGTCTATTCGGCGTATCCCCACAGGTATAATAAAGTAGTGCAAGCAAAGAAACTCAAAAAATTCAAGTTATGGTGTAGTGTAGTATAGTCGCGTGCTGGAGCTGAGATTACAGAAATACGATAGTCTTGGGGCGTTGAACGATCCCGCCGTCGTCCCGTCATGCTCCCACGCTTTCAACACCCATGCAGAATCGTAGTAGCGTATTGAATGCGTATGCGGCCTACACAAAGACTTGCGGGGCCAGCTGATGTACAAGGACGAGTCTGGTACCAATTTATCGACCCCGGAGGGATGGAAGGCTTGGTTGGCCAAGGCGGATATCGATCCGGAATACGAACCAATGTGTGAGGCGTCCCATTTGCCACTACACCACTTCCGCCTGGTAATATCAGTGACATTCCACGCTACATCTCCGATGTGTTTCATTTCCATCTACCGACGCGATGCCCCACTGTTTTTATTCAGGAAACACCAATAATGTTGATTCGTTTCCAGCTTCATAGCGGGTTTCATCCAATCTTGTAATGAATTTTGTATTCTGGTAAACTTTTCTACTAGCTTTCCTCTTAGCTTTCCTCAGACTGCATTCCCTCCCCTACTAGTTAATCCTCTCAATTTTTCTTTTAGACTGTTTTTTGTTTTGATTTTCGTTTTTTTCCGTTTTTCACGCAATGCATTTCAGGCGGAAACGATACCAGTTCCTCAACTTTCCTAGAGCTTCATCTAAATCGTAGCCATGTAATGGTGTGTGCTCACCGGTCGTTTTTTTATTCAGTGTGTTTGTTATCAGAATTAGTTGAATGCTGGCTATTCGGCGATCGCACGTGAAGGCGCAGTTCCAGCATCAGCTTTGTCGGGCGGGCACTGTGCGGTCACGCTATCGCTGCGTGCCTCACCCACATTACTCACTTATGTTGCGGTCGGTCAGCGGCCTGATGTCTTGCCTTGTGCAGTCTTCGGTTCAAGTGCTAAAGCAAATGTTGGTGTTAATTCGTCGTTCTCTCAGCGTATACGGCTCTCTAAGAGCTTTATGTAAATCGCCGTTTCTGCCTCGTCGCCTCTATGAATCGTGCCACATCACTACGGTCATGTTTTGTTGGAACTTTGCCAAAACAAACGCTTCAATTATTTCTTATGTTCTCGCGTACGCGACTTTTTTGCTCCCTAGTCATTCTCAGTTATTTTCGTTTCCTTGTTTGCATTACTATTATCGTCTTCACAGATATTGCTCAGTCATTTCTTCGTTAGATTAATAAAGAATTTCTAAACATATATTTCGGCTTGTACGATGCATCAATATCATACCTGAATCTGTCCGGGTATACAGCTTCGCAAGCTTTAGGGAATGAGTGAAATATGTCGATTGCAGCTAGCATTTAATTTTTTGTTTCTACTTTCAGTAGCCATAAGATAGAGCCTTTCTCAATGGGAGGAAACAGTAGGAAAAAGCGTAGCGACCTCATATGCTAT